ATTGTTCTGCTCAGTATCTGTTCCTATACTTGATGTACATATACTGCACAGTAGCACTTCTCTTGTTCTGTATGTTGGATGAAATGATCAGTAGCTGTTCTTTCTCTATTTGTAGCATAGTAATATTATAGAACCTATTTAAATCCATTTATTCCAAACTGCATATAGCTCTTTCAAATGTTTCAGTACCTGTTGGAGGTAAAAAGCTGATAAGGGTTGTTTTTTGAGGAGAATAACACATGCCTGGTTTTGTTATGTAACTCTAATATAACTTTTTCCATCATCGAGCATTAGTTAAAGTGGTTCTAAAGTTCAAAGTCAAAAGGTTTTTTACCTTACTGCATTAAAGTTAAAGTAAAGGCAAATCCTAACTAACTCCAAACCTGCTCTCAGCCACATTCCAAGCCTAATCTAACCAGCCCTCCAATTTGGTCTCCAGTACACTCTATGTGCTGGAGACAGCCGACAATGGCTGGGAAATCCCTGGAAAATGACATCACCCATAGAGTTACTATGGGGCTTCCATTGTTGGCTGCCTCTCCTGCACACTCCTACACGCTGAAGCCGCAGCTGACAGCTTAGTATAGGACCGGAGCAGCTGCAGAGCAGGTAAGTATATTGATTTTTACTTTACAGGACTAGATAGATTAGGGAATGGGGCTCAGAGTAGGTTTAGAGTTAGGTAGGATTTGCCTTTACTTTAACTTTAATGCAGGGGTAAAAAACTCTTTGAACTGGAAACTATGGCCCTCCAGCTGTTAAAGTACTACAAGTCCCATCATGCCTCTGGGAGTCTTGTCTGTGGCTGTCAGAGTTTTGTAATACCTCATGGGTCTTGCAGTTCCTCAACACCTGGAGGGCCCTAGTTTGGAGACCCCTGCTTTAATGTTAAAAAAAAAAAAAACACCTTTCGCTAGCTGATGTTTTCAGACCCCCCAAATACTTCCCTGTTACCTCTCTTGTTTCAACACTGTGCCTATCTGCAGCAGCGCTGGTCTCTCTCCCTCTTTTCATAGGGACTCAAGCAGCAGTAGCCATTGACCCCTGCTGCTGTCAATCAAATCTTGTAAGAAAAGGAGTGGGGGCAGGGCCAAGCTATGCTGTGTGTTTCTATGGATGTACACAGCCTGGTTCAGGACTGGAATATCACTTAAAGTGGTTGTAAGGGCTCAAGGTTGTTTAGACCCTCTCGATCCAGTGATGTGCACTGGAGTCTTGGCTATCCCAAGACTCCCTGTCATCATTGGCTGTGACTGACAGCAGTGGGAGCCATTGGCTCCTGCTTCTGTTAGTCACAGCCAGTGAGCCAATGAGAAGAGAGAGGGGGTAGGGCCGAGCCGTTGCTCCATGTGTGAATGGGCACACATAACAGCGGCTGGGGAGTGTGCATGCTCAGGTACCCCCAGCTGCTTGCTGTGGGGGCACCCAACAGGAGGGCGGGGAAAGGAGCGATAGCGGGGGAAGAGAAGAGGAGGATCATGGCTGCTCTATGCAAAACCACTGCACACAGCAGGTACGTATGTATAACATGTTTGTTTGATTGGCGATCCCCTCTGATGACTTTCGGGTCCACGAAACACGTAGAGAGGAGCCAATTACGCCATGACGTCACGCCGCCGGAGCAATGTGGAGCTCCGGCGGCCATCTTTATTGAAGGACGATTAGTCCTGTTTCATATCGCGATTTTATCTTGTTTTACCTTGTCTTACTTAATTCAATACTCAATAAATGAAGATTGAATCTACTACACTATGGGCATATTCCTGTATCTGTACTCCTGAGTGGAGTATTAATTTTAAGATGCCCTGTATGTGATCAAGATCCATCCCAGTACCCAGAGGGATCCTCCTGCATATCCAGGAAGCAGCATCCACCTATCCCTTAAGGGGAACTCTGGCTGTGTTGGGTCAGCACTTAAAGTCCCAGGATCTAATTGTTCCACCACCCTGCCCTTCAGAGGGAAGTCACCCTAACACCACACCTACCTTGATGACTTCAGGATATATTTATACTGGCGCATATATACTGCGCTTCTGGTGAGTGCGCAATTCTTTTCATATCACTGCACAAGCACAGACATACCAGAATAGCAAGCACCTTTAAGAGCACAGAAAGTCACTTTATGAACTTTAATATTATTCTGTTTTATGAACTTTTATCACAGCATTTTTATACTAAGTATTGTGCTATTTTTATCAATTTTATGAGCTTAATATTGTTTTAGCGCTGCACTAACGTCATATTAGGATAGTATAATCTGTCTTGCTACAGGTATGTAATACAGGTACACTCATCCATGGACCTTAATGTCAGTCTCTAATGGACAAGCCCCATATATCACCATATCCAGTCAAAAATACCTCATTATCTTGAGGAATGCAAATAATGCACTATAAAGCGCAGTACAGACCACTCCAAAAAAAAAGAAACTCTACATGTTTTGCTCCAAAAAATAGAGTTTTGCCAGGAGTATAAAGAATTAAAATAGGTCACATAGTGGCTGGAAGCTGTGCTCGGTTTCATATGGTGGCAAAATGGCACCTATAATTTGTTTCACCCAGGAATTTGAGAGACATGTTAGTACATAATCACCTAGATAAAAACCTCTAAAATATCAATGAAACACACTTGGCTGTCTGAGAAACCAAAAGGTAGTTTCAGGTGTGGTCACTGTAAGGCATGTACTTTCATGAGCAACACCAATGAGTTTGTCAACCCTAAAAATGGGGAGATCATTGAAATAAGAGATTTTTATAATTGCAGTATAGAGGGGGTGATTTATGCTTTAAAATGCCCATGCCCCTTAATATATGTAGGAAAAACAATTCGCCCCTTTAGGAGACAAGTTCTGGAACATGCCAACGATATTTCTCAAATAAGGATAGACCACCAGCAAGACATATGATACAAAAACATGATGGTAAGGCTGACCTCTTTAACCTTTGGATTATTGCCAAATATAATATGGGTCCTACAAAAGGAGACCTAGATAAATGTCTTTTGGAACTTGAAGCAAAATGGATTTTCAGTTCGGCTCAAGGGCACCTCATGGTTTAAATGAAGGCTTTACCTTCCTTCATTTTGTGTGTGATTAGGGACTAAATTAGTGGAGTATTAACATTGTGTGAGCGCAACCAGCAGTATGTATTGTGTTGTGGATTGATGTACTGCTGTGGTGTTGTTTTTTTCGTCCACAAGATGGTGTCTGTTGAGGAACTGAGCATGTGCAAGGGCCATTTTGATGGCCAAACACCTCTATCCATAGAGGTGAAACAAACGATAGGTGCCACCACTGCTGTGCTGTTGTTTTTTGTCCACAAGATGGCATCTGTTGAGGAACTAAGCATGTCCAGGGGGGGGGGCATTATGATGACCAATACCTCTATATATAGAGGTGAAACAAATTATAGGTGCCATTTTGCCATCGTGTGAAAGTGAGCACAACTTCCAGCCACTATGTTACCTATTTTAATTCTTTATACTCCCGACGAAACTGTTTTTTGGAGCGAAACATGTAGTTTCTTTTCTTCTTTTCATTGGGTCTTTCTTTGGGAGCACTTTTTGAATGCACATGCTATTTACTCCTTTCCCCCCCCTTTTTATGGGGTGGTCTGTCTTGCATTTTATAGTGCATTATTTGCATTCCTCAAGATAGTGAGGTATTTTTGACTGGATATGGTGAAATATGGGGCTTGTCCATTAGAGATTGACATTAAGGCCCGTGGATGAGTGTACCCATATCACATATCTGTAGCAAGACAGATTATACTATCCAATTAGTTCTGTCCATGGGGTAACTTTATCTCCTTAACAGAGATGATATATTCCATCTGATAGGCTTATGATCAAACTACAGTGTCTTCTTTATGCCATAACGTCATCTAAAACAGTATTGTCTGGTGTTATTAACCATTTGGATGTAAGGTAAATAATGGTAATGGTACCCAGTCATACTGTTGTGCGCAGTACATTCCACTCCAATAGGTATTAATTACAGCTTAGCATACATTTTATATATACAACTCGTTCACTCCCTTATTATTTCACGTCTGGACTACCTCAACTCCCTTCTCACCAGCCTACCCCAACACAGGCTATCCCCGCTTCAGTCTATCCTGAACTCAGCGGCCAGACTCATCCACCTTACCAACCGCTCCACTTCTGCCACCCCCCTCTGTCATTCCCTCCACTGGCTCCCGATTACCCAACGCATAAAATTCAAACTACTAACACAGACATACAAAGCCATTCATAACGCTGCCCCAAACTACCTCACCGACCTGATACCCAAATACCACCCAACCCGTACTCTTCTCTCCTCACAAGACCTCCTACTTTCTAGCTCCCTGGTCTCCACCTCCCATGCCTGACTGCAGACTTCTCCAGGACTTCCCCCATCCTCTGGAACTCACTACCCCAATCTATCAGACTATCACCTACCCTCCTCACCTTTAGGCGCACCCTGAAAACCCATCTCTTCAGGGAAGCCTACCCTGCCCTCACCTAACAGCCAATCTCCTCCACTCCTCCTACCACTCCATCCTCCACAGCCACTTCCTCCTGTACCACTATCCCCTCCCTCTTAGATTGTAAGCTCGAAAGAGCAGGGCCCTCGAATCCCTCGTGTATTGTATTGTTACTGTCTTGTCTCATGTTCTGTCCCCCACTATAATGTACAGCGCTGAACAAACCTTTTAGCGCTATATAAATACTGTATAACAATAATAATAATAATAATAATAATAATATGTAAATAAAGGTTATATTTTAGATTCATCAATTGGGCAGATGGTGCATAGGGACACGTACCCTCGTCCGGCATAGATTTTTTATTTTCCAAAGATGATGATTTACAATTAGGGCTTAGTTCAAGAGTTGAAAATGCAAAGTATTCTCCAATTGGCACCTGTGCCTAGCAGACGACTTCCTGAGTTCAGAATGCAGCAGGGCAGTGGAACCTGGAAGTAAGTGGCAATCATTGGCAGGGGCGGACTGACAACTCATGGGGCCCCCAGGCAATAGGGGATCATGGGGCCCCTGTTTCCTTGCCCAAACTCAAAAAAGCCTATGAAAAAGGTACCAGGGGCATCTCATGGGGCCCCCTACTGACCCCGGGCCCTCGGGCAGTGCCGTGTTTCCAAATGGTCAGTCCGCCCCTGATCACTGGTGTTGTATTGTCTAGTGATTTCCAGCTTCTTGGGGGATCATTCAGTTATGATATATAGAGTATATAGTTACTAGTCTAAACGAGACCAACTTAACCATATATAAAATATCCATACCTGGAATTCTTCTTTAATTACCAATAGAAATGTTTTTCTATGCTAATTGAAATGGTGAATAAAACTTGCCTTCTAAGCTTGCAATCAGAGGGTATATTGGTATCATCTATGTCTGTTGTTCTCACATTGTCATTTGATGTAATAAAATACTGACTGACCAGTCTGAAACTTTCAACCATTTGCCTTTATTTATTAGGTTAAGAATGTTGTCAATAGCGTATAATGCTTTATGAAATCTTGGGTGATTTTTAAGGATCAAATTGAAGGTTCTAGAAGTATCCATGGAGAAAAATCATCTTATCATATAACATAGTGTCATATCATATCATGGTCTATAAGTCTGTCTATCGATATGACCATATTTCTTTCTTTTCTCTCTTGGCATGGTCTGTTTGTCTTTGTGGATCTAAAGCACATGTTTTCAGAATGTCATGCCAATGAAAGACTTATATATAGTAAGTCAATTATCTGGTGCCCAATAACTCTGAACCTGTTTGCTCCGGCAGACTTCTTTAATGCCTCTCAATGGAGACAATAGATTTTACTACCACTTATAACAACATATAATTAGGCGAGTCCTATGATTACTTCAGACGAGATAACACCTCTGGGTAAATTTGTTAGGAGGAGCTATTAGTGGAAAATGGGAAGCAAACCTAGAAGAACATCACTATATTATATCCACTTAATGGAATCCAACGGTTGATTAAATCTACTACTCGTAAAGTAGGGCAGTAGTGTAATTGCATTACTTCTCAAGTGACAATGTTTTATGCAGCCTGGGCAATATTGTTAAAGTGTCTTGATAGCTAATAATACAGGTAGCTCACATAACTGATCTATTAATAATGTTATAATTGCCTATGTAGCAAAACATTTTTTTTTTTAATTTAAAAGGTCAATCCACTTAAAGGATCAGTCCATCAAAGAGATTTAACTACAGATTGTGAGTCTTCAAAGAAAACATTTGATGGGGCTCCCCAAGGAACTCTCCCTGTGGCAACTGGTAGTGGCAACTGTGAAATAGTGCCATTGATCATAACATAAAATATGTCAAGAACAGGTACCAAGAGAGCTGTCAGCATAATCAGCACATTACGGAGGACCAGTGATGTGGATATATGTTGTCAGGGAAGAACAGCAACGCAAGAAGTTATCTTTAAATCTGAAACTAACTAATTACACTGTCTTAAGTAGCTTTCCAGTTTTTTGCAGCATAATACATCTCTTAGCCTTCGTGTAAATTCTCAGTACTAAGAGAGCAGAACAAGTGTTCCTTGGGACACTTGTTCCTTGTTCCTTGGGACTAGCCACAGCCCTGATGGCCCCTGTGCATCTGATTGCAGTTTCTTTAGATTGGAGACTTCATAGGGGGTCAGAGCTAATGTCAGTGACAACCTGGCCAACTCTTAATAATACAGTAGAACATTTGTATTATTTTCACATGTACACAGATTTCCTATGTTCAGTTTGCCTTAAAAGCCTCCCAAATGCCTCCTCTCCCTCCTCTGAACACTAGACCCCATAGCAAGTATATGGGCTGCCTGTATCCTTTGTCTCTAGTACTTTTTGGCCCAGTCTTGCTCAATAAAACAGTTTTGCCGATGGCCAATTTTACACTGCCACATCATCTGTGCTCTCTTAATTTTTAATATGAATTTGAAAAAAAAATGGATAAGGGGAGCTCAGTTTTGCATCAAACAGAACAGGAACAGCCTCAGTGAATCACAAAAATAATCAAATAAAACAAATCAGATTGGAGTTCTACTGCTTTATGCAAGACAAATTGAAAAAAAATCCACACCTAAATATGTGCTTCCAAGTACATTGTACGTAACATTGGTCCTGTAAATCATACTGTTCTGTAAAACAGATCTGAAGTAGTGCTCCAAGGATTCCCCTAAACCTGTCATTTAAAGGATGTTTGTTTTTTTCATGTCTCCTTCAAATCATTGTATGCTATTTTTTTTAAATAAAAATGTTAGCAATGGTACTCCATGGAGCAGCCAGCTTTTTTTGGAATAGCTTATCTATTAGCCCTAAAAATTAAAAGAATTTACTAATAGGATCGTCCCCCAATAGACTCCAGTGGGATTACCTGTTAAGTTTGGATTGGTTAAATTCCAAACAAGATCTCAAAGCTGGCCAACAGAATCTTATTAAAAAATATTCAGTTTTAGAACACACACTTGATTTTCAAATGTTTAGTAGGATCAAACCAATGTTCATTTTCATCATAGAGAAGAGAAAATGTAAAAGAGCTAGAAGGAAACATTTATCAAATGAACGGAATTTTAACTGTTAATGCATTTTTTTGTTGAAGAAAAATTGTATATATTGAAATGAAACGTGCATCTGGAATTATATTCAAATAGCAAGTGTAGACAACATTTTCAGGGTTTTTGAATGAGATTAGTTGACCCAATGATGGCAAGAAAGAACATTCTGATGAATATTTTTTCTATGAATATTCAAACAAAAATATGTGAATGGCAACTTTACCCTCAAAGAAACAAACTCAGGCATATTTGCTGATCCACACTTCCAAATAGAAGTAGAAGTGAGGATGATGAATCATCTCTTAGTTGATGCCTTGGAGACTCCCAGAGCTATACCTCTTATAGACCAGACTGTGTTCTGTAAATCTAAAAAAAAAACCACAAAAAACACAAACAAACAAAACAGGTAGCTTGATACCCCTAAAAAGCTAGACATACATTTAGTGATCTGGCACACATATACTGTATATGTACCTCTTTCCCTGAATAATGTAATTAAAAAAAAACATTCCAAGTCCCCATGGGATATTTAGAGGTACCGTATTTTCCGGCATATAAGACGACTTTTAACCCCTTGAAAAATCTTCTCAAAAGTTGGGGGTCGTCTTATACGCCGGTATACGGCATGCTGACACTTTCAACGGAAGGGACACTAAGTACAGGGGGTGGGCAGGGGCTGCTGTTTCTTACCTGGCTCCAGTCCCACGATGATCCAGTCCAGGAAGCGTGGCTGCTCCTTCATTCTGTTCGTCCACTCAATGTTCCACCTCCTCACTGGTGATTGGCCACCAGAACTGTAGCTCAGGAAAGGCACAGCAGCACCATACTGGAACAGGGGTCAGCAAGTGTCATTGGTCTCAGTGGGAGGAATAGTGCCCCATCATTGGTGTCACTGATACCAATGATGGGGCATTATTCCTCCCACTGACACCAACGATGGGGCACTGTTCCTCCCCCCCCCTCAGTGACACCAACGATGGGCACTATTACTCCCCCCCCCACTGACACCAATGATGGGATACTATTCCTCCCACTGACACCATGTTGGGATACCAATGATGGGGCAAGATTCGTCGCTCTGACACCAATGATGGGGAACTATTCCTCCCACTGACACCAATGATGGGGCACTATTCCTCCCACTAATACCAATGATGGGACTATTCCTCCCACTGACACCAATGATGGGGAACATTCCCCTCCCACTAATCCCAATGATGGGGCACTATTCCTCCCAGTGATACCAATGATGGGCACTATATTCCTCCCACTAATACCCACTATAACCTCCCACTGACACCAATGATGGGGCACTATTCCTCCCACTAATACCAATGATGGGACACTATTCCTCCCACTGACACCAATGATGGGGCACTATTCCTCCCACTAATACCAATGATGGGACACACTATTCCTCCCACTGACACCAATGATGGGGCACACCAATACCAATGATGGGGCATGTTTGACACCAACGATGGGGCACTATTACTCCCCCCCCCACTGACACCAATACTATTCCTCCCACTGACACCAATGTTGGACACTATTCCTCCCACTGATACCAATGATTGGGGCAAGATTCGTCGCTCTGACACCAATGATGGGGAACTATTCCTCCCACTGACACCAATGATGGGGAACTATTCCTCCCACTAATACCAATGATGGGGAACTATTCCTCCCACTGACACCAATGATGGGGAACATTCCTCCCACTAATCCCAATGATGGGGCACTATTCCTCCCAGTGATACCAATGATGGGGCACTATTCCTCCCACTAATACCAATGATGGGACACTATACCTCCCACTGACACCAATGATGGGGCACTATTCCTCCCACTAATACCAATGATGGGACACTATTCCTCCCACTGACACCAATGATGGGGCACTATTCCTCCCACTAATACCAATGATGGGACACTATTCCTCCCACTGACACCCAATGATGGGGCACTATTCCTCCACTAATACCAATGATGGGGCACTATTCCTCCCACTGACACCACGATTCTTCCCACTGGTGTGCATTGGAAGAGGGGTAGTCTTATACGGCGAGTATAGCCCAAACACTATATTTTAACAGGAAAAGTAGGGGGTCGTCTTATACGTCCAGTCGTCTTATACGCCGGAAAATACAGTACATCAAGACAAAAAGAAATGAGTAAAAAGGTTTTTATTATAAATATCAAACAATATTTTTTTTACTTTAAATCCTGAAGTTGATTTAGTGTAGACAGTCCATAGTTGTTATCAAATCTTTATAAAAACTTGTGTTGAAATTCCACAAAATACCGGGTAGATACAAGAAGAGAGTGCAAAAAAATCTTTGTGAATAAGATTTGATAACACAACTATGAACAGCCTACATTAAATCAGCTTTTGGTTTTTAAAGGTTGCTTGATGTAAAGCATTTTTATTTGATATTTACAATAAAAAACATTTTACTTATTCATTTTTGTCCTGATGTCCCTTGGGCACCTAGAATTTTATGTGGAATTACAGTACCTTAAAAATTTAGCAGGAAAGACATAGGAGCTGTGAAGTCTGTATACCAATCTCTGGTGGCAATTTTGCAGGCAAAGGTTTGCTAGAGACAACAAGAAAAAA